GAATAAGATGATCCCGATGAATCATATCCTGAATAACCGATAATTTTGTCAGTTAACAAACTCTTCTAATAGTGATTCTAATTTCCGGCATTCTATTGGTAAACTGAAGATTTGCGTTTCTCTGCCCGATAAGATTATCCAGTACCTTCGAATAATAATTGTAAACTCTGGTGTGTTCCCTAATCATATAATTATTTTATCTGATTTTCGACTTGAATTCTGTTCTGATATATGACCTGAATTCTGTTCGGATTTCTGATATGAATTCTGTTCTGATTTCTGATATGGATTATGTTCTAATATCTGTTCTGAATTCTGTTTTGATTTCTGATATCTCCGTTTAATGACGGAAAAATGTTTTAATTGGGGGGTATTGTTGAAGGAAGAATTTTCGCAGGTTCCTCGGCTTTGTGCTCAGGGCCTTATATGTTGTGTTGGGTTGGGTGTATGGTTCCGGTGAACCTACACATTATGTTGTGTTGGGATGGGGGTATATGTGTATATATATATATATGTTTTAAAAAGTTCTGAAAAGTTACATGGTTTTTGGGAACACACTAGAAAACCTATTATGATCTCATGAACTCAGTCATCCTAAATATTTCTCTGAACTGAAAGCTCATTGTCTGTTACCACCTGAAATATCAGTATGATCTCTGCTCAGTATAAAAATCTGTAAATGTTCGGAAACAATAAGGAAATATATATTTATCTGTATCTGCACGTTCATCAGCATCATCTGGTAGTTCTGTATTACTGAGCTTTTCGAAGCTCACTCTATTACTCACCTTTTCAGGTTCAAAACAATTGTACCAGTGCATCTATCGACTTCTGTAAGGAAGTTCATCCGGCGTCGCTTGCAGAGTATGGTACATGTGATTAGGGGGACATGTAATTGTATTTTGATTTATATACGAGTCTGGAAATATGTTTTATTTTTAAATAGTGAAAACTGATTTTATAAGTTACACGTTTCAATAAAAGTTTTAAATTTTCCGCTATTTTTACAGTGGGTCGCTCCAGTGGCCCTAATGTGACTTCCCGGATCGGATCGGGCTACCCGCATCGGTCTAGGGTTACAATAATACAATATTGTTTTGGATATATAGCTTACTGTTGTTTCCATTTGTGTTAATGACTAAGAAACGTAGTTGGAGAAAATTAACCCAAAATCTCAAATTGAAATAAATAATGATAAATTGAACTGCAATTATTATAGTTGACTTTTTTTTTTCAAGTTGATAGTTGAGAATTATTTTGGGCTACAATTTTATGGTATGAAAGACTGGAAATCAATCATTGGCATTGGCCAAATGAAAAAAAAAAAGCTTATGAAAGCAATGTGTTCAATTAGGAGATATTGTAAGTATTTTCAAGACAAATGGAAATAATATACACACCACAGCCTATTTTGGGTTTCGCACTTAACATAGGAACAAACACTATTTTGGTCTTACTTCAATATTCAAGTTATCTTTGGATTAAGTTAAAGTGATTACAAAGTAGTATCCATTCTAAATACTATCAACCATTTGATAATGAACATTTTAATTACTCTACTACAACTGGTGTTCGAATATGTGAACTCTAAGAACAAAAAAAAAAGTTATCCTCTGGATAGTGTAAACCGGGTTTAATGGGATAGGCAATGTGATTTCCTTCTCAATACTAGGGCAGCTGGTAAAGCCCCCCAGTCACCTGCTTCGATTCTCAAAATAAATTTTAAATGATTAACACAACTATTAATTGAATTTGTTATCTTAATTTTTTTTTGCTCAACAAGAGGTCGTTTTATTAATAATTAACCGGGAAAAACATCTCTTTAAAAACCTCCCTAAACCTAAATAGAGAAAAAGAGTACATTCAACCGGTAGTCTAAATCGGAACCACAATATACAACGAAGGATGACATTTCAGACGAAAGTGCACCCAGGTACAAGCCACATAACAGTAAACGAACACCTACCAACACCCACTAGAGCAACTGGAATTACCCTGAATTAATATTACATTCCTTTGCCTATTTACTCCGGCAAAATGTTACAGAATTGTACAAGTATTATTAGTTATTATTCCATGTAATGATAGTTAAAATAAACGAAATTTTAATATTATCATGCTTCTTATTTTAAGACCATAGTAACATTAAATTTCTATTAAAGCAAGCGGCAAAAGTTGTCATTATACAGGAACTCATTTCTGGTCGAGTTTTAAACTAATTAAAGCTTTACTTGTTCATTACAACATTAAAAATTATACCAAAATCTATATTTTTATTATTAAATCTAAATTAAAATATAATTTAAGTTGTTCCCTGCAGTATCGTAAACATTAAGTACCTTCAAACTCCTCTCTAACTGCATATTAGCAACCCAAACATTCTTCAGATCACTTAACTTGCAATAAAAGGTTTTCAATATTAAGGGAACTTTGATATATCAGAATAACTAAGCTACCTTGTGTTTAAAGTAACTTGCCTTTGATATTTTCAGATTAAATTAACTATTTCAATGAATGTGTCAATTTCATATATGTAATAATGATTCAATATAGATGATAATTTATATTTATTTCGTATCTGTATTATGTTTTAATTTTTATAATAATTTAAATTAGAAAAAATAATTATTTTTATTAAGTATAGATTATTTATTTAGTTAAAAACTAGGTAACCACATCTACCATAATATTTTAATTTAATTTTTCAAGAAAATTATTTTAATGATATAATATTATATTAAAAAAAAAGCTTTTGTAGTGAGCCAACTTTGGCATGGCGGCATCAAGTGGTGTAGGCTGATCAAATTCTAGGCATTTTTATACTATATACGAATGCATTTAAATACAATAAATGGGAATTCAAAGGCTTAGCTAATTATTGTCTTGGGCATTTTTATATTTATGAAGTCAGATAGTTTGTTGAGGAATTAAATGATGAAACCCAGTGTGCGTTTAACATAATTCAAGTCAAAATTCCCACATGACACCTTATATTTGAACCCTTGAATATTTATCCCCCGTGCTAGCTGTTTTCCATGTTCCAAAGTTTAATAAACAAGAAAAAACAGCTTTAATTAATGTAAGCTTATTTTGTCTTCAAATTGGACCACACTCATCAATTATTTGAGCTACTGGGCGTCACCAGCGTTATTGCGGCCGTCAAGGGCGTTATTGGGCGTTATTGCGAGTGTAGCGGATAACTCGGACGGAAGCGAAATCGCTATTTTACGGGCGCTATCACGTTTTCGGACCGTGATTTAAAACCCTGATTGCAATTGTAGGGAATATTTGTGTTTATTGCTCAGGTGGACCGGACTCGAATTTTGAGTATAGTACGCATTCATATACAGTATATGAACCAACTAGCATGAGATCAATTCGAGCAAGGTAAGCGTTTTTTCCGTTCTTTTTCCCTTTGCTTTCTTTGAGCTCGTTGATTTTCTGTTTTCATATTATGTTATGTTTGGGGTACTTGGTATGCATAAATTATGAATGAATTAGTTGAGACTCAAAGATATATACATATTGTCAAACTCATAAATAGTATAAGAGTTTCAAATTCTATACTTAATAGTTATCTAACAAATCCATGAACTTGAGAAATAATCTTGAATATTATAATTGCATTATTTTTATCAAACAATTTGCATTATTTTTAAATTTGTAATCCAAAATTTGAAATCCGAATTCTCAAATGCTACCTCAGGAAACTTTTGAAATTCAAATATACAATTAGTTTTTTGTTCATTGAAATCAATAGGAGCTGGTTGTTGGCATTGGGTTGAATTGAATGGTGGGTGAAAAGGTCACGTTTTTCATAGTCAAATTGGCTTGTAATTTGTTTGTTGTTATTACTAGCTTTAAGTTTATTTTAATTTATTAAAATTATGACCAAATTGATAGAATATATAAGTAAAAGTGACCAACTGTGTAATTTTACCAAATATTTAAACTGTCACATCAGCTTCTCCGTTAAATATTAATGACAAGTGGCTTAATTGAATGCATTTAAATAGTTGAGTGACGATTGACAAAATTTCAAAAAAAAATGGTCAAAATGAAAATGGACAATAGTTAGGTGATCACTGTTATAGTTTACCCTTTATTTTAAATAATTTACCTTTAAATTTTTTAACTAATTTATAATTATACGTTGAGCCCTTTAGAATTTTAAATTTTATAAATTAAATTAATGGTGTTCATTTTAGTTGTGTTCATCGATACTCGTCGAGCGTTGTAGAATTTTCCTAATAAATTACAAGTATTTGAACTATTTGTTATTTATATATTTCATGTTTGTCTCGCATACTATAATATCATCATATACGGAAATTAAATTACAATATAATATCATGTGTATGTGGTGTTTTTTGGATCACCATACTTGATTGTTAATCAATCATACATCTTCATGTATGTTGCACCAAAAATAATATTAATTAAATTAAATTTAATAAATTACAACATTAATTTCGTTTTAAAAATACATTTACTATTGACATCAATGTAATAACTTGTGATGTCCATATATAATATATATACTTGCAAGTTGTAATCAGAGGTGGATCTAGGACAAAAATTCAAGGTTGCAAGAGCCCCAGGGGTGGCACTTATATTAGGGTGGCACTTGTATTAAGGTGGCACTTGTGGAGGGATTACTTGGGATACCCCAAGCACTATGGAGGTCCGCCCTTAAATGAGGGGTAGCCCCGGATACCCCGGACACCATGGAGGTCCTCCCTGTTGTAATAAGGACAGAAAATCAGGTACTCAAATTGTCAGATTTATTTATATCTAGGAGTTAATATGGCTGATGTGTAAAGGTAATAAAAACAAAAGTAGATAGATAAAGAAATGAAACTAAGATTAAGTTGGGAACCTTTGTTGAAATTAGTTAAAGAAAAGAAATATCTATTACAATATCTTCCATAGAAAGGGAATACTATGCTATCTACTCAGATTCTCCTTTTCTTTTTGTTATTTTTTTAATGATAAAATCACCATCAACACCCAAACAAAATCCTTTTTAATGCTTGGGTGTTGTCCTTGAATTATACTAACATTATTCTAAAATTTAAGTGTCTTCAACATTCAACCCATTACATAGAGCTTGAATTTCTGTCTTTCTGAGATGAGAGTATAGCATCAATGGCTTCCCTAACTTGGGAAGTATCAGGAGCTTTCCCACCTTGAACCGGCCAAAATTCATCTGTTGCCAACACCTTCACTTGCAACTGAAGAAATTTCACGTAGCTAATTGCTTTCTCCAGCATGGTTACCAGATCAACCTGTCAAATCAACATTAAGATGCATATAATTCCCAGCTTTTTACCGAAAATGCAAATTGCATATATCAGTTTCAGTAGTAATGAATAATTGCTTACCTTGGAGCCATTAGGTACCAGTTCTTGTAGTATCTTCAACCGCTCACTGATCCTCTCGCGTCGATTCCTAGCTGCAATACTTTGGGGGTCCTTTGATGGACCGGACTTAGTTTTCGCCTTCTTAGCTTCGTTGCTGCATTGTTTCTTCAAAGCTTGATTGCTGTCTCCCTATACAACAGTTAAATCAGCAGTAAAATCAGTGGCTATGTTATATGAATTGACTTTTATTTACTAGGATTGAACGGAAAAGGACGGTACCGTATTCGGACGCTTGACGCCGGCTGCATTGGGTGATCGTAACTCCGTGAAGCTATCTGCAACGACTGCTACCTCAGAGTACAACCAATCTCCATTGTTTTCTTTCGTTATGGAACTAAAATTGCTAGCAGTTTCAAAGCAGCCAAAGTCTTCCACCGAGCGAGGGTTGACACCGGTCTTCGTATTCATCGGACTCCATTCGTAATTCTGATTCAAACCGCCCTCCCACATCGAGTAATCTTCTTTATGACCACTGGCTTTTGAGTATGTACTTTGCAGAGCCTTCTCATTTTGCTCAAAGCTAAGCAGAGATCCATAATTAGTCCCATTAACGAAGCCATCACACACTGAACCTTTGAAGTTTATCAAAGAATGAACTTCCCCGGGAGGCTGGAACATGAAACTGTCGAAATCGACACTGCCCGGAGACGAAAACGACGAAGAACTATTCATCGGAAAATTCTTGACAGTCCCACCTGGCTTTTCCAAGTCAACTCCATCAAATTTGTAAGGCTCAGAGGATTGAAGTGAGCAGATAGGGTCCTTTGCAAGCGCCATTGGGGTTGAACATGAAAGACAACTTCCCTACAAGCCCTATATATATGTGTAGAGATTGTAACTACAGATTAAATATTAAATTACAACTAAAGATGAGATTGAAAATACTTTGTTTATTTGTTTTCCTTATCGGAACAAGAAAACTGCATATTAAATATTGGTGCTATTGCATAGATGTAATGAACTAGCAATTGTATATATATTAATGATTGCATAGTGATTGTTAGCTGGCGGAGGGTTGATCGAAGAAGATTAAAAGGAAAACAATGAGAGAGAAGAAAAAAAGAATGGTGAAAGCAGCATAACGGTCGGCAGATTTTTCTCCATCCCCACGACTCTCAGATTCCCATATTTTGTTATGCAGTTTACTTCACACATTGTATGAAGAAAAGTTTGACGCTGCTTCCCACGTTCTTTCCCTTCTACTTGTGCATGTGAGTTTTCTACTCTTTTCATGGTTCATGCTGCCTCGTAAGTCAATCATGGAAGGAACCATTGGCAATTCCTAGCAGTTGCCACTTTCATTGATTATTTGGCATTGATCGGGTTCGTGTATCTAGCTGTATAAATGAATATAGCGTTCGATGAACTGTTCATATGACGCTCGCTTATTAAACTATATTTACAAGTATGAATAAAATTTTTATGTTCATTTAATAAACGAATGAACATGAACAAAAGTGTGTTCAATTCATTTAGGTTCACGAACAAGCTTGCTCATAAGCTTATTTATAGACTTGTTTATAAGTCAGTTTACTTTTTTTTATATAGGAAATAAGTCAGTTTACTTGGTTCTCCTTTTTTTTACATTTTAAATATTACTGAAGATAGAGACTAATTTGAACACAAAATAAACTTTGAAATTTAAACTATAAAATTTAAAGAGATTAAGTATTAGTTGAATAATTTTACCCCTTTTCCGAACACATAAATTAGCGCCAAGCTAAATAAATTAAGCATAAACATTTTTAAAAATAAATAAATAATCGAACATAGCTTTATTAATTTAAATTTGATTTATTTAGGCCACTACGAGTATCAAATAAATTTGCAATCTTGCCTATTAGGCTACTATGTTGTTTAAAAAGGATAGGGAAAGAAAATTAAAAGGCTAACGGTAATTAAGGGGAGCTTTTAACTATTAGAATACAACAGAAACATATGGTGCATTTATTGCAGTTCATGAGATGCAAGAAGGATAATCTAACTGTATCGGTTATTAATGAGTTAAATCTTTTGGGAACCCAATGAAAATCATCCTCCACGTGTTTTGTTGGATGGTCTAGTGAAGATGCAGAAACGCAAAGCTGGCCCTTGGGGGATGGGGTGGGGGGGGGGGGCGGAGCAACTCCATGTTTTTAGGAGAATTGTTTGCTGTACTTATACCATGAATTTCAAACCGTCCTTTGAATATCACCCACAAGAATCAGCTAAAAGATTAATTAAGTAAATCATGGAAGCAATTTACATCAATGCCATATAATTGTCTCATACAATACATTAATCAATAATGGAGTAAACGTTAAGATTAGGATTTCGAACCCCTTTCATGAACCTACTCAATCCATACTTCAGAAACAACTGCAGGGGAATGGCTCTAATTTTGGACACCACCTCTGCTTAGGTATAGAGTTCAATGATCGTTCATCATTTCTAATACATCGTAAAAAGAATTAGATATCGACACCGACTAGAAAACAATTGATAAAAACTATTCATTTAAATCAAAAAAATAAATAAATTGTTTATCACAGAACATAAACTTGTTAAAATCACCCCATAAAAAAAATACGATTCGGTAGGTAACTCATTAAAATCACCCCATAAAAAATTACTGTCCAGTAGGTCAAGTAAAGCAACTATGTCGAATAGTAACAGTAGTTAGGCATGCATAGGTAAAATTTAGTGACTTCAAAGATTTAATTCTAAATTATCCGAGTTAATTCTAAAGAAAAATAGTTAAAATTTGCAAATACTTTATTGCGTGATATTAATGATATTTGGTGTATAAGTATCAATTTTGCAGAACTCATAATAATTGCATGAAAGGTGAATTAATTTTAGGGTAGTTTGTTTCATGGAAAACATGTTTTAGAAAATGAATTTCGTAAAATGAATTACGTTTTTTGAAAATTATTTTCTGAAAATCATTTTACAGTGTTTGGATGATATTGTGTAATTCATTTTCTATTGGTTGATAAATTTATTAAATTTTTTTATTATAAACATCAAATACAATGAGTAATATTATTTATTAACAAAATAATAATATTATTCTTAAAATATTAGAATAATTTATTTAATATCATTTATGTCAATACTATAATTAAAATATTATATCTAGAATTTTATAAATAAAAAATATTACGATTATTATAAAGTATATTAATTATTTATTAAAATGTGAATAATATCTAAAATATTAAACAATTCAATAATATTTTTTAATAAAATTATTAAATAATATTAAAATTATTAATAATTTATTATATATTATTAAAATAAAAGTGTAATATCATATATTATAATAATATAATTATAACAGTAAAATATAATATTAGATTATTAAAATTATCTATAAATATAATTTAATAATTAATATTTTTATTAAAATTATATTAAAATAATATATTAATATTACATATATAAAATAATAATGATTTGTTAATAAAATAATAATAATATTTTGAGTGTTTATAGTTTGAAATGAAAAGTTGGTAAAATGATTTACGGAAAATCAGACGATAAGTCATTTTCTAAAAAATACAAAAGAAATTCGGACCAAGAAAATAAATTACATTGATCATCTGTTTTCCGTCAATCAAACACTGAAAAATGGGGAAAACATTTTTAAGAAAATCAATTACAAAGAAACAAACATGCCCTTATTTGGTTCCACCATGTTCTAATACTTGACGGTTAGAAAGATGCACTCTCCAGCAGACCGAATGGAAGCTATTTTTCGTTGGCATTAAACACAATTTCATGTCGACAACGCACATTATTTGGCTGAATTTAAAAATTAATGTTTAATTACCTTCATAATCACAATAAATACAATATAATTCAAATCCCAAGCAAAAAGAAAATACCATACATCCAAAGTAATTAAAACACGGTTTACAATTTAACTACCAACAACTTCTATCAATCAAATAAAATAAGGAATTAAAATATTTTAGCGAGATCTTTCATTATCCCACGGTTGGCAGTTGTGAAATCGATGTACTCCTCATATGAAATCTAGCGGTCTCCGTCGGTATCGATCTCAGACATTGTCGGCCTAACTCCTTCCCCCGTGACGCACCCGAGCGTCTGCAACGCATCTCCAAGCTCCGATGCCGATATTCTGCAGTCCCCATTTGTGTCGAACTTCTAGAAGATGTGATCGAAGCTGGTCTTCTCTTCATCATCCATTGGTTTTCTAAATGGCGAATTTTTAACATGTAAAAGTTAAAGTCGATGTGTTGTTAAAGAAAACAGGGAATCTTGCATTATGAACAGATTACCTGTAAAATTGTTGGTAACATCCAACCGTTTTTACTCAAATTAAGGTAAAATATGGAAGACATATTTAGATGTTAGGTAATTATGGAAATGGAACTTGTGGAAGGATAAAATGTAACCAAGAGACCCAGTCAATTAAAGACAACATAAATTGTTGGATAGGTCAAGATATTAAACATGTTATATCTCCTAATAGTATTATTTTTATCGTATTCATATTATGTTTCAAATAATCACATACAATAAAAAAATTAAATTAAATTCTTAAAAAAAATAAAATATTCTATTCTCAAATAAAAGGTAAACACTTCATTAAACATATGCAAAATTGAGCATTCTACACTATTGCACCTCTCATTTGGCATGGCATATAAAATACAGAAAATTTTCACATTGTTAAAGAAGAGCTTGAGACAACATTGTAATGAAACATGCTAGGCTCAGACTACTCAAATGCATTTAAGATTCTTATTTTGATATTCGATCTGTTTTCTATAATTTTGTATGTTAAAATTACTATTTAATTTACATTTAAAGTATTTATAAATAGAATTTTTGGATATTTATTATTTAAATTTACAGTACTTTAGATTTAGTATATATGTTTATGAGGATTAAACCTTATATGGAGTTAATATTGACATCAATTGTGTGAAAGAATGTGCAGCGAACATTAGATGCAGCTGGGATTCGTTTCCCACAATCTTTAGAAGAAGGTGATTGTTGCAAAGTACGGTCTCGATCAAGAGGCGCTATTTTCTAGCAACGACGAGAGGCGGAAGTCGTTATGGTTTTGGAGAAACATCACGTCTCCTTTGTCAAGTGAAGATGTTTCCTTCATGTCTAACTGTTTTTGTGTGCTTGATGATGGGAGTAAAATAGAATTTTTGGGAAGATCACTGGAGAGAAGTCCCTTCCCTGAGAGTTGCGTTTCCCAGAATTTATGGAGTGGCTATTCGCAAAACTGGAAAAGTTAAAGATTTTGGCCAAAGGAGAAATGGAAGATGGGAATTGAATATTGAGATCAGAAGACATCTTTCGGATTCGGAAGTTAGTCATTGGAACGAAATTCTAAATGTCCTAAACAGAGGCCAAAGTAGTGTCGACTGTGTAGATAGAGTACATTGGTTGGGGTCGCCGGTTGATCATTATTCGGCAAAGAATTTCATTTTGTTGGCGTCTTGTGAAGGGGAGATTGAGGACAACGTGTGAAAATTGGTGTGGGAAAACTTAGCTCCACCGAAAGTGAAACCTTTCGCTTGTAAGGCTATTCTTCAGAGCATTCCATCCCTTACTGAGCTGTCGAAGCGCGGTATATTCGGGCTGGACTCTACAATAAATCAACTATTGTGTCACTGTGAAGCGATTTGGAAGCATGGAAACGTTGGTGCAAGCT